TTAAAGGAGGCGAACACAAAGATGCAACAAAAGGTTTAGTTGAACTATGTAAAGATTTAGGTGTGCAGTTACCAGCTAAAATTAAATTAGACTAAATTCGTGAAATACTTTCAGCGCACGGAGCTTTCCGTAATGTAGGTGATAATCATTCCAGTCTTTTCAGCATATTCGATCTTATGTCGTTTATTTTGTTATTTAGGCCACAAAACTTGAGATGCTAGGAGCCAAATATAAAATTAACATTATATACTGTCCTAAATATCATTGTGAGCTAAATGCCATTGAAGGACTTTGGTGCAATCAAAAAGCGTTTGTTCGTTCACGTACTGATCAAAGCTTTGAAAAAATGATAAAATTAATATCGGATTCGCGTACACATTTTGTCGAACGGAAAATTGCATTAAAATTATTTCGACGTTTTTGGCGTTCAATCGAAACATATTCTCAAGGTCAGACTATGCTGATGTATTAAAACTATTTTTCAGTCAACTTTGCAAAACAGCAGTTCAATCACATCAAAAATAACAAACACAAACATAGACGAAGATTAACGAAAATCTTTTCCTATTTTAACAATTTTATTCTGCATGTATCCCTTTATATTATATAGCCAAGCATGTAAACCCGTGATTAAACATAAAAAACTAATCAGTTTCTGCGTTAAAAAGATTAAATCCTAACCAGAACAACAAAATTATGGTTTTTCAAAGAAAAGTTTTCCAGAGATCTTCTGAAGATCTCATAAAGACCTTGAAACTGTGTTCACTAGATTCGTCATCAGTTTTTACCTATGTGAACAAATTCTTACTTGATTTGAGTGAAAAATAAACATTTTATGCAAAAATGACCTCCCCCTTTTTCGTATCATACAGTAAAAACGATTTTTCTCCATGAAGGAAAGAAAAGGAAAAAAAAGGATGTGTAATTTGATGACAAATGGTATGATGAATGGAATGAGATAAAATTATTGACTCCATCGTTTACGTAGAGAAAAAACATAGCTTTACAAAATCGACCTATACCCATCACAGTCGACACAATCCGAAGCGCCACCATCAATATAGTTTTGCACCTAGAGTCGATTTAACAACTTGTCTGTACTCAGTTTTTGATGCTGAATCTGAAAAAATTGTTTTCAGAAGCTGAAAAAATGAACGAAGCAGAAAATTTCGCACATTTTGGATAAGATGTGTTTTTTGAAGAAAACGACATCCTCCGAGTATTTCGTATTTTTCGACCGGAAGAAAGCATTCACTAAGCCTAAAAAGTAGATATTCGTGATCAGCAGCTCAAGCTCTATCAGGCGATGTGAAAAAAAGGCAAAAAAAAAAAATTTTTACTTGAATTTTGCACTGCCGGCACCTTACTATTATACATATTTATGTAATATATTCTTATGTGTTTGTCTTATATTGCACTTCTCATACAACTCAATGTAACTTCTAACATCGTCATTCCTGATGATGTGTTCAGTGTAACACGAAAGCTCGAATAAAATTGTGTTTCAGATTGAAATAAAATAAAATGATCTTCGTAGCAGTTTTATATTCTTTTTTTTCTTATCTATTTCCTACTGCTCTATCTTCTCAATTCTTATTAAATCTTCGCTCTAAATATGGCGAATTGACTTTTACCAGCATTCGACGATTTGAAAGTTTCACAAAAAAGTTACAGAAGGCAAAATGTGACACAGCGTTCTTACGATATTGTCTAATATATAACTTGTCACCGACGTTTGTTCGGATTCGATTGTGGAAACCGGGCCTAATGCATTCATTAAAATATAAAGAGTTGCAACGAGATTGTTTGCTTCGTGAATATGAATCTCGTCAAAAACAAGCAAGACAACTAGAAAAAAGCCTTTCATCTTTAACATGTTGTCTTGAAAAAGATTTGTCATCAATAGATTATATAAATTTAAAAAAATTCTATTATGATGTTGCATGTCGAGTACATTCAAATGTGATGCCAATACATCAGAAAAAGCTCGAAAAATTGAACGGAGGTCCTATTGGGCAAAATTATGATGAAATGAAATCAAAGACAGTACATAACATATCATCATACACTCTTTCGTCTACAGAAGAACGACTATTATGTCGAGGTTGGGACTTTTGTATAGAAAACAAGGTACTTGATTTTCTTGAATTTGAAACGGATGTTGAACTAAATTCAATGAAAATTGAATCATCATGTCATAGCTCGGTGTTTAGATCACTATGTCGACATATGCATAATGCATCACAACAACTAATGCGGTCATGTAAAAGGAAAAAATTCAGTAATCTATCTGATGATGAATTGAAATCATTGAAATCATTAAAATCTAATAAAAACATTGTCATTGCAAAAGCTGATAAAGGTAACTCTATTGTAATATTAGACAAAGAATCCTACATAAAAAAGGCTGAACAGATTTTGAAAGGCAATCAATTTCAAGAGATAAATAATAAAAATTATCATCAAGAACGTGAAAATGAACTTAATAAATATATATATGCATTGTTAAAAGAGGGAATAATAGATCAGAAACTTCGATTTCGACTTCAATCAACATGTTCCTCATTGTCAGTCTTTTATGGACTTCCAAAAATACATAAAACAGAATATCCTATACGGCCAATCATATCTACGATAGGAAGTTTTCAATATGAATTATCAAAATATCTAGCAAAAGCTATCAAAGATTCTAGTCCACAAGCTGACTCATATATAAAAGATGCATTTGAATTTGTTAAAAAAATAAAAAGTACAATATTAGATAAAGAAAAATCTTACATGATGTGTAGTTTTGATGTAGAAAGTCTTTACACTAATGTGCCTGTAGAAGAAGCCATCAATGTTACATTAGATTTCATGTTCAAACCAACAAAAAACATAAGCATTCCATTTAATAGGGAACAAATGAAAAAACTTCTTGAATTATCAGTGTGTGATGCACCTTTCCGATTTCAGAATAAGATCTATAAACAAATCGATGGAGTAGCTATGGGTAGCCCTTTAGCACCAATTCTAGCAAATCTATGGCTACAAAGAATTGAACAAAAACTAAATAGATTTAGCAAAAACAGGCCTATAATATGGTTGAGATATGTAGACGATATTTTTTGTTTGTTCGATATACCTAAAGCTAAGATATTGGAATTTCATTCAAGAATAAATAAATGGCACAAAAACTTGAAATTTACCATAGAAATGGAATCTAATAAAACACTTCCCTTTCTTGATGTATTAGTCACACGTGATCATGATCATAACCAACTGACTACCTCACTCTACCGGAAACCAACACATACAGGACTTTATCTACTTTAGGACAGTAGTCAGAATAGAAGATATAAGATTGGTCTAATAAAAACATTGGTGATACGAATATATAGGATTTGTTCTACTAAAGAAATCATACACAAAGAAATAAATCAACTAAAAGAAATACTAAATAACAATGGCTATCCACCTCATATAATTAAAAGAGGAATTTCTGAAGGAGAAATAATAATTCGAAAAGAAACAAAAATGAAAACAAATAAAAATGACAAAAATATCATCTACTTCACTATAGCATATTACGGGCAAGAATCCCTAGTCTTTGCGGCAAGAATTAAACGAATTTGTAAAAAACTTGTGCCTAATTTAAACATTCAATTTGCTTTTAAAAAACACCTAAGTCTTAAAGGAATTTTTCTACCAATTCTAAAAGGAAAAGATGTAGAAAAAGAAAAGAAAAAATTAATATACTCAATACCATGCTCAAATTGCAACAAAATATATATAGGAGAAACAAGTCGGATACGAGAAACTCGAATGGCTGAGCATCGTGCAAAAATAAGAATACTAGCATCCGATTCTAAACTTGTTGAACATATAGAACAACACAAACATGAATTTGATTTCTCAAAAGTAGAGACACTGGCACGGGAGACAGATTGGAGAAAAAGAACTATCAAAGAGAGCATTCTCACCAACAAAGCATGTGGTAACGCCATAAACGACACAAAACACACACTACGAGTAGTTAGCTAAGTCCACTGCATCAGTTACAAGTCAAACTAATAAATCTATCCAACTTATATTATTAGTATTCATCTGTTCGTACTTAACTCATCTTATTTTATTTTAATTCATCGTAATCAACAATCTTACTTTAATTCATCTTTTCATCGGATCTGATAAATTAATTCATGTCATTCAACCAATCTTAAATTAACTCATCAATTCAAACAAAATTCAATTGAACCAATCTAACTCAATTCTTAATCTATTTACATCACTCTTCTTAGTTTACTCGAGTTCTCTATTCAGCATAACTATATCTCTTACTACGTAATTTATTCTAATTATTTCTACTCACATTACTCTTCTTAGTTTATTCTACCTCTCTATTCAATATACTTATATATTTTACTCTCGTAACTCTAAGTCAATCTAATTCATTTCGCTCTTCTTAGTGTTATTCTAAATTTCTATTCAATGTACTTGTATCTCTTACTCTTTAGCCTACTCCTTTTAAACTAATAGTTCAAAAAAAAAAAAAAAAAAAAAAAAAATTTCTTCTTATCTCTAAATTTGACTCTTATCATATACATATAAGGACGAGTAGAATATACAAATGTAAAAGAAAAACTAAAACGCTACAACATGTAGAAGTAACAAGTTCATCAGCAACTTCAACATAAAAATAAAAATAAAAATTATAGAATTAAAACTTAAAACTAACTAAATCACATAGCAACTAAAACAAGATGTACAAACATAGATATATATACATATATATATGTATATACATATATATTCACAAACAACTAATCAAATGGTCACTAGTATATATAGATAAGACTAACTACTTCACATATCTTGTTCTAGCTAAATATATTGTATAAGTCTTACATTACTCATCCTCGTACTAAGTTCAAATTAATTTACTTATTAATTTAATTATATATTTTTTCTTTTTCTCAATAATGAATATTGTTCATTTTCTCGTATTTGCTCTATTTGTACTATTATACATATTTATGTAATATATTCTTATGTGTTTGTCTTATATTGCACTTCTCATACAACTCAATGTAACTTCTAACATCGTCATTCCTGATG